CAATAACAAAAAACCGTTATAACTTTATGGCATTTGTTGTAACCTCTTTTTTTCTGTCTTCAATGACAACTGGGGAGACATTTGAATTGAGTCATGGCGTGCGAGGAAGGTGAATTGGAAAAAAAAGTAATATTAATAATTATACGGTATTCGGTGCAACCCATGGGAAATTGAACAGCCGTTTTGAGAGACTTGAAGAGGTATGGGAAATTTAGATGATTTTAAATTTCTTCATTTGAATATGAGAATGTGGGTGAATGGACTTTATTAACTTTTTCGAGTCCAACTAATTACAGTTAAAATAACAAGTAAAAAAACATTAAATTCGGCCGGGCCAAACTTTTAATAGCCTCCACCTTAGGGTAAAGGAAACATTAGAAGAAATGTGGTAAAAGCCATTAAAATGCCAAATATCGGGAGGTACCGTTATATGGAGACCATATCAAAACATGCACCTATACATATAATGTTTCGCCACACGAACTAGGACCCATTATGACCCACAAATACCAATTTTTAGACAAATCAGTGAAAAATGAGGCAAAACCCATCAAAATACCGAATTTCGGAAGGTACCGTTATATGGGGGCTATACCAAATCATGGACCCATACATGCAATGTTTCGCCACCGGAGCTGGAACCCATTATGACCAACAAATACAAATTTTCAGACAAATCCGTGAAAAAATCTGGCATAAATCATCAAAATACCGAATATCGGGAGGAACCGTTATATGGGGACTATACCAGAACGTGGACCGATATATCTCATTTTCAATACCAACCATCCTAGACACAATACAAATTGCTCTGCTAAATTTTGGCGCTCTACGTGAAATAATGTGGGCTGTATCGTGATTTCAACAGACAGACGGACAGACAGACGGCATCGTTAAATCGACGAATATTTAATGATGTTACAAACGGAATGACAAAGATAATATTCCCTCCTTTCCAAGGTGGTGGGTATAAAAATACAATTCTGTAATTTGGGATAACAACGTATTATATTTATTTTTAAGGGACTATACATTCAACCCTTTAAAACCCAGTAAATGAAGTAAGGGAAGGAGACTTTTGGAAGGATATATTTAGACCTACACAATACCAAACACAAGTTGTATGATTTTTTCAACCCAAAATCTCTTGAAGTACAAAATCGGGTTAGAAGAAAATATAAATATAATTAAATATAGAATTGTGCCTTAATTGGTGGAAGAAGTATACATGTCACTGTGAAACAATGTGATGGTTATGGGAAAATTAAAAAGAAGGCTGGTTGAGGTTCTAGTTTAATAGACTTCAACCCTGAACTATATTAGCCAAAACTGTTGTAGGATTTGGTGCGGTTTAAGTCGGCAGATGTTTCATTCGCAGACTTTTAGTCCATTGTGTTCATCCCAGGAAGAAGTGATAGGTCAGAGAAAAATATAAAAACGGAAAAGAAGGGGTTTCAAAAGTGTTTAAGCTGAGTGGATTGCTTAGCCAGGTATGTTTTAACCAAACCTATAAAAGATGAAGCGATCTACGTCAGAGAAGAATGTTTGAGTTTCTATCTCCCACTTAACAAATAGTCTTTCTCTCATGTTTAATATCATGATACATCTTGGTGTCCAGCTCTTCGTCACATAGTCTGCAGTAGTCAGGACCACAGTCAGGACCGTCTTAAGGTCAGATATCTGATACTTCACTTACCCGTAAATAATAGCAGAAAACAGGTTATAATTCAAGAGATTATTTGGTTGAGAGACTTCTTGAAATAACTGATATACAGGGTGAGATGGAAAAACTGCTATCATTTCTAAGCCACTCGTCCGACAGCTGTTAAAATTATTCCAGTGACAGCTCATTATATTGTTTCCAAGCATACAAAAGCATTTTGGTGAGAATTTTCCAGAAAAAAAGTTATTCGTGATGGAATTCAAGCGTGATAGTGTAATTTCTTTATACTTGGCTGGAAAACCACAAGTGGCTATCGTTAGAGCACTCAAGCGTTTAAATGTGAATAAATCTCTTGTGTCTCGTATCATCGCTCGTCACCGTGATAATGTGAGCGTAGCTCGACGTCAAGGAAGGGGACGGAAGAAAACAGCAACATCAGCAGAAATGGTTCGAAAAGTAAAGAAGCGACTACATCGAAACCCGCGTCGAAGTGGCCGAAAAATGGTTCTTGGGTTGAACATATCGCAATATTCCATTCGGCGAATATTAAAAAATAATCTCGTGGTAAAGCCATGGAAATTTCAAAAAGTGCAAGAAGTTACACCGCAACGGAAAGAAAATAGACTCAAAAGAGCTAAAGTGTTGCTTCGCTGGGTATCGTGAACTGCCGAATTTGGTTTTCTCCGATGAGAAAACATTCGTTGTCCAGCAGTTTGTAAACAAACAAAATGATTGTGTTTACTCGCCAAAGAGGTCAGCTGAAAATGTGCACCTTCGGTTGGCCACCAGAACTCCAACGCCACCCATGGTGATGGTGTAGGCTTCCATAACAGCCGACAGTCGCTCTCCGGTCATATACGTATTAATCGACCGTGGCATCAGAATAAATTGCCGAATATTATCTCGAAAATATTCTGGAGGGTGTATTAAAGCCTTGGGTGAGCAAACATTTTGGCCGCAGACCTTGGACATTACAACAGGATCAGCACCATCGCACTCAGCACACGCCACCCAAGAATGGTTATAAAATAAGGTTCCTCGCCTTATTTCCAGCATACATTGGCCACCGAAATCTCCGCATACCAATCCATTGGACAATTGTGTCTGGAGTATTTTGGAAAGCAAGGTTGGCACTAAAAAATACCAAGGTGTCGATCACCTCAAGCAAGCGCTTCGCCGGGAATGGGCCAAAATACCGCAGAGCAACATTCGGGCATTGTGTGATGGTTTCATTGGCCGTTTAAGGCCATAATTCCTGCCAAAGGTGACCAATTCGAACAAATCTAAACTTATTCTAAAATTTGATGCTATTTTCGAAATTTTTTGCTTTCATTCATAAAAATTAAAACCAGTAAAGAAAGTCCTAAAGTTGGGCGGGGCCGATTTTATAATACCCTACACCCCTTTGCTAATTTAGTTGAGCTCCACTTAATAATTAAAAGATTTTATGGGGGAATTCAATCATACACAATTCAAATCATACAATTTAAAATTCAAAAGACTAAATATGCCAAAGCCCATTTGGTGCAAAATTAATTTGAAATCAGATAAAGGTATATATGGGAACTATATCCAAATCTGAACCGATCTCGATAAAAATTGGCAAAGATATTTCTGAGCTGTATTTGATATATTTCCCTGAATATCGTTGTTACGGAGTCCATATTACGGATGTAGGTAACAAATACATCAAATCGGATGAACAATATATATGGGAGCTATAGCTATATCTGAACCGATCTTCACCAAATTCCATCCAATTTGGGAAAATATTAGACGTTTGGTGCACAATAAAAGGTAAATCGGACAAAGTTATGTATGGGAGCTATATCCAAATCTGAACCGATCTCGATAAAATTTAGCAAAGGCATTTCTGAGCTGCATTTGATATATTTTCCCAAATATTGTTGTTACAGAGTGCATATTACGGCTGCGGAGGACAAAAATAATAAATCGGATGAACAATATATATGGGAGCTATAGCTATATCTGAACCGATTTTGATCAAATTTGGCATACTTATTTTCAGGCCTAATTTGGTTGTATGTGCAAAATTTCATACTATTCGGTATTACACGTTTGGTGCACAAAAAAAGGCAAATCGGACGAAGATATATATGGGAGCTATATCTAAATTTTTACCGATTATCTCCAATTTCAGTAGGGTTCGTCCTTGGGCCAAAAAATGATATGTGCAAAATTTCAATCGAATAATAAATGCGACCTGTATTTTGTTCACAAGAATACATGGACAGAGGGACGGACGGACAGGCGGACTGACATGCATAAATCAACTCAGAAAGTGATTCTATGCAGATCATCAAAAGGAACTATGGGTATATCTCGTTTCCTTTTGCCTGTTACAATCAAATGCACAAAGACATAATACCCTGACCACCTTGTGGTGTAGGGTATAAAGAGACTATCGTTTAGAACAAAAATCGGATGTTTGTTAAAGAATTACTCAAAAATTGTATAATTTACTCTTTTTACACATGCAGGACCATCATTTTCAAATGTTTTCTTGACATTTGTAAATTTTATTTAGGTTTGAATACGAACGATTCGGTTCAAAATTCCATTGAAAAATTAGGGATGTGCCGTTATGGTTTATACGTGGAATCATCTGCCGACAAGCGGGCGAATATAGATATATCGACAAAGTGTGGTCCGACGTTTAAAAGTGGGTCCAAGTCTAAAATTTCTGCTAACTTTCATATATCCATATCAAATAATATGGATATTACCTTCAGCGAATTTTTGTACCCCGTATAGTAAATTCCCAACCTATAATTGTATCGGCCCATGAATAAAAGACGGCAACCTAGTCAGTCTCAACAAAAAATAATCTAAAACGAAACCAAATATAACAAAATAGTTTTACCTTCCAGGAAAGAGCAAATGTGTGCGTCGATGCAGCCCATCAAAGAGAAATGCTTTCCCATTTCTCCCTTCCTTTTTTGTTGCTTCTTTCCCAGAAATATCTGTAATGTTTGATGGTTGAACAAATCATCCAATTGGTATTTGAAGCACGTCCATTGGCAAAGGAAGATAAAAAATCTAAGAATGTGTTTCCTGGCTGACTGCCTTAAATTGCATCTTGTTAACACAGTTTCCCGGACTAGTCGTCGTCGTAGTTGTGAATCGTTAGAAATTCTTGCAGTGTCATGCCTCTGAGTGTTTGTTGTCGTAATGCAAACATATACACAGACACATACACGCTTACATGCATAACTGATGAAATGTGTTTGCACTTTGGTACAAAGAGAGAGAGAAAGAAAGGACTCTTTGCGCTTTCCCGCTAGTTCGACAAAACATCAATTGACGGGTTTTCTATAGTAATTTCGTCGATTACTTCCTACAGTACTTACTTATGTATCCACTAGTATAATACGAATGATACTATTGATACTATTCATAGCATACACCATTAATGATTTTGATTTAAGGGTATGTACTTATTTCAGTATCCCAAAGTAAATGAACGGTTCGTCGATTGTATCAACTGCGCCTTACCATGGGATACTTAAGTAAGTTCACATATTCTTTTGTTTCTCTTTGTTCGATTCCGTTATTTTCTGGAATGTGTGTGATGCAAAAAAAAAGCTTGGTGGTTGACAAATTTCATTTACTCTTTGATCAACAATCCAAGTGTTTAGTCATAAATTGTGTGTGCTCCCACCAGTGAAGTAATAAAATATAAATTGTTTTGTAAAATTTGATAGTTTTGTGTTTTTGTTTAGAGGTAAGTAAAATGATTAGCAAACGGCATTTAAAAAGATTAATAAAGAATGAAAAGGAAAAATATGTGGACAGATTTATGAATGTTGAGATAGGAAATATGGACAACACCTCCAATAATGAAAATGATTGTTATGAAATTGAAGATGCTGACTTAGTGGAAACTGAAACAGAACAAGTGGAAGAATTGGAATGTAATAGTAATGCACAAGAAAGTCAAAATTTAAGCATTAGCCAAAAATTGAAGGAATGGAATGTAAAACACAGACCATCACGAAGTTGTGTAAAGGACCTTATTGAAATATTAAGAGAGGAAAATATAGTTGTTACTCCATTTTATAAGTTCCATTGCCCGAATAGACCGATAGTGGAAAACATTGCTGGTGGTGCATACATGCACATTGGTTTGTCGTTCCATTTAAAGAGGATAGCCGAAGTATTAAATCTACCCACAAATATTATCATTGATATAAACGTAGATGGTTTGCCACTTTTCAGAAGTTCCAAGACACAGTTGTGGCCAATATTAATAAGAATTACAAATGTAGAGAGTCAACCAGTATTTCCAATTGGCGTTTTCGTTGGAAAAAGTAAGCCAGCGACATGTGAGGAATTTCTTTCTCGTTTTATTGATGAAGTATCACCATACTTGGGAACTGGCATAGAATTAAATGGCCGTAAAATTAGCATTAGAGCAGTTCTTTGTGACGCACCTGCCCGTGCATTCATTACAGGCACTCCTTCTCATGCATCACGACATGGATGCTCAAAATGTACGCAACGAGGAAAGAAATGTGAGGGAACATTAACATATAGCACAACATCGGAAATACTTATTTCAGATGAAGATTTTCGTGTGCGAAAATATCCTCATCATCACACGAAGAAGTACTTAACCCAAAAAACGCCATTAGAATTCCTTAATGTTCGAATGATTACCCAAATACCATTAGATTGTATGCATTTAGTGGATTTAGGCGTAATGCGAAAAATTTTGTTAAGGCTTATTAATAAGAAAATTTGTTTTCCAGCGCCAAGGGAAAATTTGCAAAACATTTCTAAAAAACTTTTATCTCTGCGTGGTCATATTTCATCCGAATTTGCACGAAAGCCACGATCATTGGATGATATTTCATATTGGAAAGCCACTGAGTTCAGACAGTTTTTGTTGTACACAGGTGTTGTAGTTTTAAAAGACGAAATACACGATGATGTGTACTATGAATTTTTATTGTTACATTGTTCTTACAGAATGATGTGTTGTCCCAAACACTGCGGGAAAAATTTGGATACAATTGAAATTCTCCTCAATTTATTTGTACAAAATTTCCCGCTAATATTTGGAGGAAATAGTGTTTCGTACAATGTACATAATCTACTTCATTTAAAAGAAAGTATTGACCTCATTGGTAATCCAACTGAAAATTCGTGCTATTCGTTTGAAAATTATTTACAAAGTTTAAAAAAATGCGTAAAAAGGCCATCAAAGATTTTTGAACAAATTTATAGGAAAGTTTGTGAAGAAAAGTTTTGCACCAAAACACAATACAAAGGTCTTAATGCACACGAAACCAAATTTCATTTTAAAAGTTGTACTTTGACTTCGAAGGCACCGGATAACATCTGTTATATTAAAAACGGAATTCCTGTTCATATTCATGGATTTTCGCAAGAAAATGGAGGAACCCTCATTGGACACAAATTTTTAAATATTCGAAGTTTTTATAAAGAACCGTGTGATTCTATTTCATTAGGAATTTATTTAGTTGACTCCAAACTTTCTGACGAACTTCAGAACTTTCCATTAAGTGAAGTAGAATGTAAAGCAATTCGATTTCCTTATAATTCTCAATCCGTATTGATTCCTATTCTACACGCCTGTTTTTAATACCTTTTTTTACTTTTTTTTTTATTTACACATTAAGAAAACTATATAGCATGTCTTCTTCACCGAGCCCACCAAAAAAAATAAAACGCGTAACATTAACACCTTATTCTGAAAGTAAGTATTTGTTTATTTTATATTTAATGGGATTTTTTCTAAATATTCTAACTTTATTCTAATTTCAGACATACCTACATCAAATACTAACCTCAATGATGTTTTAAAGGCAATTGAGAGTATCAAAAAGGATACAGAATCCTTACAAAACCAATTTAACGTCCTTCAAGGTAATTTTTTTAAAAGAATATTTTCAATAAATTATTTATATATATATATATATATATGTATATATAAACATATAATCTTAGGACAGATCAAGTTTGTTGCAGAAGCACTGGCGGAAAATAAAGTATTGTTGACCAAAATTTTAAAGGAAACATACGAAGAAATTCCGGTAATACAGAAGTTTCCAATAAAATCTGAAGAACAATTAATTGAAATTGACAAGGAAATAAATGCTGAAAATAGAAATCAATATGTAAGATATTTCATCATTTTTATTATAAATATGAATAGCTGTATATCAAGTTTATCTTTAGATAAAAGCAATGAGATCAATGCTAGAACCAGCCGGGGTTCACAAAAACTTAAAATGCATCCTAAACGACAATGTTACCATGGCCTACAATGTCGACGGTGTTCAAGGGAAGAAAAGTTTTAAACAACTTAAAAACTTTTATGGTGTTCTGTTAGGTAAGCATAATTATAGTCTTAAAACCCGATATAAATAATACATTTAAATTTTTTTCATTTTCAGAAGCGGTCTCAATGGCCAAAACAAATAATATTGGTCCAGCGGATGACCAAATTCGGAAGGCAATTCAATTGCAGAAAAGAAGAATTTTTAAAAATATGTCGGTGCAAAGACATGCTGATCAAAAATAAGCCAGACAAATAAATTTATTTCAGACGTTTATTTTCATTATTTGAAGTATTTTTGGTTTTGTTTTAAATAAATAATTTTGTATTTTTTGAATTAAATATGTGGATTTTGATTTCATAGGGATCTTCTGCATAGTACTGCGTATGCAGAATTCGTTTATTATTAATCATTAACGAAGTAGATCATTATTCATCGTTAACGAAGTAATTTATTATTCATTGTTAACGAAGTAGTTCATTATTAATGATAAACGAATAGTCACTGAACTTGTCATTACTGTTTTCGTTAATGGAAGGTAAACGAGAGGGTGACGATTACATACCTCCAATGACATCCCCATGTTAAATTCGTCACTCAAACGCGTGGCTAGTGTATTGGCGAGTAGGTACTGGTACTTTCTTTTGGAACAATGGTATAAGTACTTATGTAGTGCTTACCCGAACAAGCGGGTTGTAATAGCAATGACGTTGCACATAGCGTGTGTGTATGGATGTTTGTGTTTGTTTTAAACTCTAGCTGATGACTTGGCATTTACTGTCCGCACACACATACAAACATTGTAGTAAATACTTATGTTGTGTGCGTTGTTGCATCCTTCTCTTAGTTTTGGCATATTGTCCACTTTGTGTGTTAGAAAAGCAAGACTGTGCTCTTTTAACTTCCCGCCCAAGTCATTCAGTAATCGAAACTGTGTTCGCGTTGCATTTCAGCCACGTCTTTTGATGTTCGTGTTGCCTCGACTTGGCACTGGTGTTGACTTTCATTTCCTCATCCTGTGATGGACGCCAGTTTCTAACATTGCGTTTCTTAGCTTCTTAGGATTAAATGCACAATTACGTGGTCCCATGTAAAAGTGTTCAAGTGGGAAAGGAGAGGAGAAAAAAAATTTGTTAAAAAGCCATAAATACAAGGATCGTTATTTATATTCCGGGTCATAGGAATATTGATTGTGTCAAAAGCACACAGCATTTCAAGACGTGACTGGCCAGTTTATTGAGTTTTTCTCAATGCAATACGTTTAAATAAAGAAAAAGAATTTCCAACTTTGGCCATAGGAACCCTAAATAATTTGGGTTTATCTAATGCACGATGCGCCACACAAAAATACCCATTTTCCGCATTACGGTTACATATACTGTACGCCTTATGTCAAAACTTTCTCACTACCTCTCGTTAACTAAATAAATGCAACGTTGAATATTTCCTCTCATTCGATTTAAGCTCGGCTATATGTCTGTGAGGTTAAATACTTAAATAACTCAGGGTCTGTGATCCTTTTAGCGTTGTTGCCTTGGAAAGAAGAGAGTACTTCTTTCCTTTTGAAATGAATTGAAATTCTATTTTTGATGTTGATTTATCTCTTTTAGCTTAAACGTAATAACTTAAATAGAGGATTTGATTCAAAAAGAAAATATAAAGAAGTCGAAGACTCTGTAAAATCTTTGTTGAATGGACATTGAATGTCTAAGATGATCATAAAACAAAACGTTTTACTGAAAATTATTCTGTCTATGATAGACTATTAAAAGGCCTTCTATCCCTATGATCCACAGTCCCTACAAGATCCCTACAAATTGTCATAAACAAGATATAAAATTATTTTCTGATCTTCTGGCCACAAGTCCAAAGAAAAACCTTAAATAATCGTCAATCTCCACATAAGATACTAACAAGTAATAAAATATTAAGTTCAGCCGGGCCCAACTTTTAGTATCCTCAGCCTTAGTCCAAATGAAACATTTTTATATAAAAGTGTCTAAATTCAAGCATGTTTTACGTTAAAATTCATATACCAATAAGACCGTTTGGATAATGCAGTTAAACTTATCAAAAACCCATTAAGTGAATGAAGTCGTTATATGGGCCCATACCGAAGCGGGAACCTTTATTAACAATTTTATACTTCAAGGATAGTGATCTACCAAATCTTCTAAAATACCAAATTTCAAACACTTATGTGCGTAAATGTGACTAGGATTATCAAAATACCGAATATCGGTGGGAATCGTTATATGTGCGCTATATGAAAACTAAATATTCAATGTTCTATCACTGAAGCTAGAACACATTATGAACTACAAAAACAAATTTGTAGGTAAATCCGCAAAAAGATGTGGGAAAAATCGTCAAAATACAAATGAAATGAACAAATGTGAATAATACCGAGTATATATATATATATATATATATATATATATATATATATATATATATATATATATATATATATATATATATATATATATATATATATATATATATATATATATATATATATATATATATATATATATATATATACTCGGTATATATATATATATACTCGGTATTATATATATATATATATATACTCGGTATTATTCACATATATATATATATATATATATATTTAATAAAACAAGTGAAATAGCTGCACGTTCTGCCGGGCCGAAATAAAACAAGTGAAATAGCTGTACGTTCTGCCGGGCCGAAATGTAAATACCATCTACCATTTGGAAGGCTTTTTGCTAAATTTTCAAAAAAAAACCGTCAAGAAGTACTGCTGAAATCATATTGGGTTTCATACTGGGACGTGGACCTGTATTTTCTATTTTTGTCATAGACCATTGCAATATTCAAATACAACAAAAATTGAAACAATTTCAGTGAATAATGGCTAAAATCATAAAAATACCGAATAAAAGGAGGTACCGTTATATCAGGGCCTTACGAAGACGCGGTCCTATATGAGCAATTTTCTGCCAAAGGGTGCATAGGAACTTTAAATTTCAAATTTAAAACAATACCGGTGAAAAGTGTGACACAAATCATCAAAATGCCGAATATTAGGAGGTAAAATTATATAGGGGGACTATATAAAAACTTAGGTATATATTATAATTTCTATGCAACGTTAGGTTAAAATTGTGACTAAAACACCCAAAAAACGTTAAAACTGTCGGTACAGTTAAAGGTCATTTTCAATACCAAGAGTTCTGCAGACATAAAATATATATGAGTAAAATTTGATCAACCTACTCCATTTCTTTGGAAGCTAGAATGATTTTCATAGACGGCATCGCTAAACCGACATAGGATTTTATGCTGATCAAGAATATACAGGGTGAGATAAAAAACTGCAACAAAGCCAAAAGCGAAAAAATGTCGGAAATAGCATCAAATTTTTTAATAAGTTTAGATTTGTTCGAATTGGTTACCTTCGGCACGAATTATGGCCTTTAATGAAATGAAATGAAACCGACACACGCTGCCCGAATGTTACTCTGCGGTATTTTCGTCCATTCCCGGCGAAGCGCTTTCTTCAGGTGATCGACACTTTCGTATTTTTTAGTGCCTACCTTGCCTTCCAAAATACTCCACACACAATAGTCCAACGGATTGGTATCCGAAGATTTTGGTGGCCATTGTGGGCTGGAAATGAAGCGAGGAACCTTATTTTGTAACCATTCTTGGGTGGCCCGTGCTGAGTGCGATGGTGCTGAGTCCTGTTGGAATGTCCAAGGTCTGCGGCCAAAATGTTTTCGCGATAATATTCGGCATTTATTCTGATGCGATTAATACGAGCGGAGAGCGACCATCGGCTGTTATGGCGGCCCACACCATCAGCGCTTGAGTTCTGGTGGCCAACCGAAAGTGCACATTTTCAGCTGACCTCTTTGGCAAGTAAACCAGATCATTTTGTTTGTTTAAAAGCTGCTGGACAACGAATGTTTTCGCATCGGAGAAAACCAAATTCGGCAGTTCACCAATTTCGGCCCAGCGAAGCAACTCTGTAGCTCTTTTGAGTATATTTCTTTCTGTTGCGGTGTAAGCTCTTGCACTTTTTGGAATTTCAATGGGTTTACTCCGAGTTCATTTTTCAATATTTGCCGAATGTAATATTGTGATATGTTCAGCTCACGAGCCATTTTTCGGCCACTGCGCTGCGGTTTTCGATCAAGTCGCATCTTTACGTTTCGAAACATTTCTGCTGATGTTGACGTTTTCTTCCGTCTACTTAAATGCTGGAGTGCTCTAACGATAGCCCCTTGTGGTTTTCCAGCCAAATATAAAGAAATCACACTATCACGCTTTGAATCTCATCACGTATAACTTTTTTTTCTGGAAAATTCTCACCAAGATGCTTTTGTACGCTTGTAAACAATATAATGTGCTGTCATTGGAATAATTTGTTGTTCAGTTGTCGGACGAGTGGCTTAGAAATGACAGCGGTCTGAAGTTGGTTGCAGTTTTTTCATCTCAACCTGTATGTTCGCGTTGCAGACGATTAAAAAAATATAAGGATTTCTGGTGAATGGTTGTCGGATGTCCAGGGATTGAAATGATAATGTTCGGGTTGCAGACAATTAGAAGAATGGTTGTCGGATGTCCAGGAATTGGAGTGATGATGTTCGGGTTGCAGACGATTAGAAGATGATCGGGAATTCTGGTAAATAGTCATCCCATGCTGACGCTTGGGATGATTTCGCTGTTCGGGTTGAAGACGATGCCTCTGTTCGAGTTATAACCGGTAATTCCGATCGGAATCACGATGATGATTCTCGGGTTATAGTGGATTTTTCTGTTCGGGTTGAAATCAATCGGGATCTTAGATGACTGGATATCGGGTGTCCGTGGATTAAGATGATGTAGTTTGGTTGCAGACGATTAGAAAATAATCGGGAACTCTGGTGAAAAACGGTTGCCACACAGGTATTCGGGTCGTGTACGAGGAGTTGGTGATCGGGAACTTGAATACGTGCTCGGATCTTTGTTAGTCGAGCTATGTTACCGTCCAAGACTACCTCTGCGTAACTTCTCTTGATTTCGGTTGGGACAGCGAGCCCAAATCTATTGTTGGTACAGCCCGTAGCTCACGTTGTATTTGTTATTCTCCCTGGAATCCGTTCTGACTCATTGGGAAATTGTTTAAAAAACGGAAAAAATACTATTGATAGCCATTTTATTGCACACTTGGGAGTATTCAAAAATTATTTGGTATTTTGCCGATTTATCGGCATTTCGACGATTTTTCATTCTAAAAAATGTCGATATTTCAGCGATTATAAAACTGTAAAATATTTTAATTTAAAAATTGTCAATTTTTCTTGAAATTTTG